TTGTCCAGGAACTACACACCCCTCAGGTTGGGTCATATAAATTTCTTCTTCTAAATCACCATTTAAAAAGGCTGTTTTAACATCCATTTGGTGAATAAAAAGTTTGTGGATCGAAGCTAAAGCAATCAGGATTCTAACTGAAGAAATCCTAGTCACAGGAGAAAATGTATCAAAATAGTCAATGTTTTCTTTTTGAGTAAAACCTTTGGCTACCAGTCTAGCCTTATATTTATCAATTGATCCATCTGGAAAATATTTTTTCCTAAAAACCCATTTGCACCCAATAGGTTTTGCTCCTGGAGGCAAGTCAACCAAAATCCATGTTTTGTTTTGATTTAAAGAATCTATTTCAGCTTTAATAGCTTCTTTCCAAAACTGAGAATCTGGAGAAGAAATAGCCTCATGAAAATTTTTCGGATCACCTTCTACTAAATAAGTATAAAAATCATCTCCAAAAGATGTTTCTTTTCTTTGTCTTTTACTTCTCCTTAAATTCTCACTCAAACTATCATTTGAAGTTTTTTCCAAAGAAGAGTTTTCAACTCTTTTAGGGACACGCTCAACTTTCAAAGGAAATATATGTTCAAAAAATTCTGCATCTTTTGTTTCAACAATCGTATTAGGATCCAAAATATCACTTTTCAAAACTAGAAAACGATAAGCAGCACTTTTTTTTGAGCGTAACCAATAAACATGCAATCAAAAGTTTTAGAACCAATCTTTCTCTTTTTAGAATCAGGTAATAAAACTTTTGCAAGACACCCCCACACTTTTAAATATTTGAGGTTGGGCACAAATCCTTTCCATAATTCATAAGGTGTCTTTTTAGTTTTTCTATGGGGTATTCTATTTTGTAAAAAACAAGCAGACAATAAAGCTTCACCCCACAAGTTATCAGGTGCAGCAGAACTCACAAGCAGAGCATTCATCATTTCTTTTAAAGTTCTATTTTTCCTTTCTGCTATACCATTAGATTCAGGTGAATAAGGAGGAGTTACTTCATGGATTATACCCTCTTTTTCACAAAAATCATTTAATAATAAATATTCTCCTCCTCTGTCTGACCTAACTCGTTTAATCTTTTTATTCAGTTGATTTTCTACTTCTGCTTTATACAAAAGAAACATTTCAAAAGCTTCATCTTTATTTCTCAATAAATATACTTTAGTATATCTTGAAAAATCATCAATAAAAGTGATATAATATCTTTTGCCTCCTCTAGTTTGAACTTGTTTTAAATCCCCTAAGTCAGTATGAATTAAAGATAACAATTCAGTTTCTCTCTGAGTAGAAAAGTGTGGCTTCTTAGTTAATTTAGTTTCTGCACAAACTTCACATTTGTTAAAATCATTACTTTTAATTCCATGAATTAACCCAAGATTTTGCAATCTCTTTATATATGATTTATGAGCATGTCCTAATCTAGCATGCCATATGTCAAAAGAATCAATCAAGTAAGCAGAAGAAGATGCATTTTCATTAATTTCAGCAACACTTAAAACAAACAGACCCTGATTACAATATCCCTTCCCAATGAGAACATTGTTCTTAGTCATGACAACCTTGTCAGACTCAAACGACACTCTAACCCCAGCTTTCCCAAGCAGCGCCACAGAGACTAAGTTTGCCCTAACATCTGGGACATACAGCACATCATTCAGTGCCAGGGTTTTTCCTGATGTGAGTTTCAGTACCACTTTTCCCTTTCCCTGAACCTTGGCAGTTCGGGAGTTAGCGAGGTAGATGTGGTCTTCTCCTTCTTCAAAGGAGGTAAACATCTCTTTATTTGCACAGATGTGCTTAGTGGCTCCTGAGTCCACTACCCATTTCTTCACATCAGTCACAATAAGGGCTTGAGAGACCACTGCAGCTATGACTTCATCATCACTGCCATCATCTCCTTCAACCAAATTCACATTTGGCTTAGGAGGATTATCACCCTTTTGAGTAGCCCTTTTTCTACATTGCGCCGCATAGTGCCCTGGCTTTCCACAGACAAAACAATTGCCTTTCTTTTTGAATTTGGGGTTAGAGTCCTTGGATTTGTAATCAGATTTCTTATTTTTGTTATTTTTGTTTTTGGGATCATACCTCTTGGAGCGCGGTTTTGATTCCACCAAGTTTGCTTTAGCAGCTATTTCCTTTCCCTTTGCGGCTTGTATGGCCTTTCTGTTTGTGTCTTCAATTATTATGTGGGTAATAAGATCTGACAGGGACAACTGCTTCTGTTTGTGCTTTAACTGCTGTTTGTAGTCACTCCATGTTTTTGGCAGCTTCTCGATCAGTATGCCAGCTACGAACTCATCTGGCAGGTTAATCTTCTCAGCACGCAGCTCCTCCAACAACTTGTGGTACTCGTTGATTTGCAGCTTGATGTCTTTCTCTTCGGTCATCTCCCATTTGTAGAAGTTCCCCACTACAAATTTCTGCTTCCCAGCATCCTCAGCAGTGTACTTGAGGATAAGAGATTCCCATATTTTGTGTGCTTCCTTATAGACACAGTACACATCGAACAGATCGTTAGATAAAGTGCTGATAAGAGTGTGTCTGCAAACCTTATTGGCATGTGTCCAGATATCTTTCTGGGCTTGATCAACATCTGGGGTTGGTTCGGACTGAGTAAGAGCAGCAGCTACTCCATGCATGTCAAGGACAGAGTAAACTCGCTCCTGCCACCGCCTGAAATTCCTTCCATCAAAAGTCTCTATTTTTGAAGTGTCAGGGAACGGCCTAGGAATAGGAACTGCTGTTGGAACAGCAGTGACTGAGGCAGCATCATGGTTATTCTGAGCAGCAATGTTGCGGGGTTGTTCCATGATGTGACTAGCTCTTAAGATTGTTGGCGGCAGCACCTGCAAAAGTAGTTAATCCGAGTCACGTCCTAAGGACGCTGTCCTTAAGAGCTATTCCGCAACCACCGGTAGATAAGGATGCGGCACTCCCCAGGATTAAACGGATCCTTCCTGTAAAACAGGGTGAGCAGAACAGTAGAAGATAGTAGTAAACTCAGCAAGTAAGAGAGCACACAAGAGGGGGAAGAGAAGGAGCTCGAAAACTCTAGAGCTGTGTATCAAACTTAGAATGAAACACCCTTTTATAAGCATCATATTTTAAACGTTGGCAGCCTCCTTTTCACATTAAACCGCCAGCTTTATAAAATTGAACGCATGCCATCAATTTAGGGACGTTGTAGTAAATGGTGAATCCGTTTAATCTTTCAAAACATTATTTAATGTTTAGTCGGTTAATGCATTGAAGCAATTTGAATGGACCGCATTCAAAATTGCTTCAACGCATTTGAATGGTAGGAAAAACCGTTTAATACTTTAATAGGTTTTATTGCATAATAAAGGCTCACCATTTGATGTTTAAACCTCCACCGTTTCATTTTTTAAAACTTCAACGTATTTAAGTGATAAATAACTATTATGAATTTTCAAACATTCCATCTTTAAGGCATTGAAAATCCATTTATGACATTAAAACTCTTTAACATTTGATTTTCCTATTCTTAATAATAATAAGAAAATCTGTCCATGATTAATGCTCAATTTGTTTTCATCTTCCCACATTCCCAATTAATGTGGGATCCTTTCTTTGACACACCCAAAAATATTACAACAAGTTGAATCTGCTTTTAGGCATGTGTTTCGTTTTCATCAAACTCCTCTTTCATGTTGGCAGCACAGTGGGAGATGGGAGGAAACTCGTCACCAATGACAGGAATCCTGGTAAATTAGTTATAAATTACATCAGGAATCCTTTTTTTTTTTTAAATCTAAATGACTGAATCATATGATGCTAAATAAATTAATCAAAACATTACTTACTGTATTTTTATTTTGGAACGACTTTTGCATAGGATCCATTAGCATCGATTGTGGAGCACCGCAAGATTACCTAGACAAGGAGACGGGCATGTGGTATCATACAGATGCAAATTTCGTAGAAACTGGTACAAATTCTATGGTTCTCCCCACTACCAACACTGATTATCCTTATTTTGGGGGACTTCTAAACACGTTGAGAAGCGTCCCAGAAGGAAAAAGGAATTGCTACACTCTCAAACCAAAACAAGGCAAGCACCATACTTATATAATATGGGCTTATTTTTTGTATGGAAATTATGATGGCAAAAATCAAACTCCAACCTTCGACTTCTGCCTTGGCGTCAATCACTGGGACACTGTTTACTTGCTGGATAATAATTATTATCACATTCCAGAGATTATTCATACCCCCACAACAGACACAATACATGTGTGCCTTGAGAAAACTGTTGTGGGAGTACCTTTCATTTCTGCGTTGGAGCTTCGACCTCAGCAATTCCGTTTATCAAACATATTTACCTTCTCATCAATCTCTTTTAATCAATCGAGGAAGATTTGATGTTGCCTCCACCAGTTCTTCCACATTCAGCAGGTGACCCCAGCGTTTTCCCTCTTTTTCTCACTCTTCATTTCCCTACGTTATTCGTTGACTCCAAACTTGGATTTTCTTTCCGTGTTACATTTGATATATTTGTCATCTTTTTATAAACACTGAAGCATATGACTTAGTCATTATTAGTCAGATAAGCATTTATGACGTCAATTGTTTAGGAGAGGACTAAGTTTCTTAATTTCTGATTTGGAGGACCAAGCAATAAATTGTTATTAAGCATGTACCTGTATCATAATTTGTTATAGCCAGAGAAATCCTCCATAAATTTTTCTTTGAAATACTAAAGCCAGAAAAAAATAGCATGACACCGATTGGTTTATCAGAATCTTCGTAATGTAATAAACCAAAATTTGAATTCTTACAAGAGAGATGACCACATTTAGTACTGACCGTATATCATTACCTCCAATAAAAAAAAATACATGTGAGAAATAAAAAATAGCATGACATCTACTTAAAGTTAATGGATAGTAAGGTTTGCGTTCTCTATGGAAAGTGCAGGTACAAGGATGACATCTATGATCGAATGTGGCGCAAAATCAGTATATCAAATTGGTACCAGATTAATGGGTCCGTAGATATTGATCCTTCAAGCACAAACAATTCTTATAAGTTACCCGCGGAAGTGCTGAAATCTGCGGCCCAATCATTCAATCTCTCCTATGCATTGAACTTTGACTATGACTCTGTATGGAAAAACCTGGGCAGGTCCTCCAAATATTACGTCTATTTTCACTTTTGTGAAATTCAACAACGTGCCCCAGGCCAAAAAAGAATATTGAATATTACTATGGGTGATGAAAATGTTTTTGACCAACCTATAGTTCTTGAATACTTGAAACCACAAACCATTGCTCTAAATGCAAGTCAAGGTTATGTTCGTTTTAACATCAGCGCAACATCAGAATCCGATGCTCCTCCAATTCTTAATGCTTTTGAGGTTTACGAGTTCGTATCACCTCTACATTCCCCAACAGACCAAAGAGACGGTGCAAATTTGTTTATTCCTTAGTCAGCTATTTCAAATATTTCTATCAATAATATTTTATGTTTGTTTTCATGTTTGGTTTTGTCTTCTAATTAATATCTATTTATTGTTCGCAATAATAGTGGATGCTATCATAGACACTAAAAAAACATACAAGATCTCCAATTTGGATTGGCAAGGAGATCCATGTGTTGCAAACCTCTCTTGGGAACGACTAAGCTGCAGTTCTGGGATCAATGACAAAAATGCAAGAATCGTCTCAGCGTAAGTCATTTTTACATCCCCATTATTTTAGCGTCACTGGATCTATACGCATTGACCTAGTTTTTGTTAATAATAAGAATCTTAACACCGCTGTAAATCTGTGAAGTATGTCATTCTTTGTCCTTAATATTTGATTCTCAAATGCAAAAATCATATAGCTCAATTTTACGTCATCCCAAGAGCATTATTGACTATTAATGATGTCGACGTTCATATTAATATAAAAGTTTATGACTAAGTACTGAAAGCATGATTCACTCAAGCAGGAACCTAAGCGCGGCCAAATTGGCAGGGCAAATAACAACGACATTTTCGCAACTTACAGAGTTAGAGTCCTTGTAAGTCTGTGTATTCGAGTGATTTAGTAATGACCGATTCTTAACCGGAAAGTTTCATTAATATGCAAAATATGTTGCTTTGTTTTAGGGATTTGTCATTTAATGACTTGTCGGGATCAATACCTGAATTTTTACCTAAACTACCAAAATTGAGAGTCCTGTAAGTTTTGAATTATTGTTTATGATTCACTTATAGAGTAATATTTAAATTTGAGCTCACTTATAGTGCTTTTGCAGTAACTTGACTGGCATCAAACTCACAGGTTCCATTCCCAAGGCTCTTCAGGAAAAGGCAGATTTGCAATTGAGGTTTTTCATCTTTTTATAATGCTCCTTGTTCAATTTTGACTAGCCTTATGTGAATCAAAAGTAATTAACAATGATAATGCAACTCGTTTCATAGTTTGGAGGATAATCCTGGCCTTTGTCTGGTGGATTCATGCAAAAAGCAGAAGTTTGTCATTCCACTTGTTGCTTCCGTTTCTGCTTTAGTTGCAAGCCTCTTGGTTTGTCTAGGAATATGGACCTTCAAAACCAAAAAACTAAAAGGTCGGTATAAATGTATGCCTGGTTATGTCTTCATGATCAACTTTTCTTGTCAGCTTTTTGCAATTAGTTTTATTCTGTGTCATCGATTGGATGCCACTACTCTTCCGATTGGAGACCACTATATTTCTTCTTGTCTGTACTTTGTTTTATGCTACAACATCTGAAGTTTATGCCCAAATTAAAAAGAAAAATCATTATCAAAGTTTATTTATCCTATCCTCTTGAAATAGTATAAAATGTTTGAGAGTTCATCGAAACACTTCAAGTAGTCTTTCTCTCCATATTTCTCGCTAGGAGTGTTCATTTTGCCAATTGTCTAGGTGCTTGATAGTTCTGATTGCTTGTATTAATATTGCAGTGGTTATAACTGTTTCTAAGAATGAAGAACCGTTGCAACCAAAAGCTCGAGCAGTTTCTTACTCCAGAATTCTCAGAATCACTAACAATTTGCAAGACTTAATTGGAGAAGGAGGATTTGGAAAGGTTTATTATGGCACTCTAAGAAACGGTACTCAAGTTGCTGTGAAGTTACTTTCTCAATCATCAATGCAAGGGTTCAAAGAATTTCGATCAGAGGTCAGATATTTAGATGAACCAGTTTCATCTTTACAATGAAACTTTAATGGTTGCATGAAAAGAAGAAACATTAAAATTAAATATCAGTTCACTCTTTATGGTTAATTTGGATTGCAGGTAGAACTCTTGATGATTATTCATCATCGACATTTGGTTTCCCTGATTGGCTACTGTGAAGAAGGTGTTGTGAGGGCATTAATTTATGAATATATGGCTAATGGCAATCTCCAACAGCATTTATTAGGTATGTAGCCACGCACCTATAGAAGCTTATAGACCCTATTCTCAAATTGAAAAAATTCAAAAGGAAAATATAAAAGAAATCTATCTATGCTCATCATGCAGGAGAGAACCCTAACGTTTTGAAATGGAATGAGCGTCTTCAAATTGCATTGGATGCTGCACATGGTAAGCAAAACCATTTTTTATTTTCACTATTATAGTAAAAGTACATAGATGTGCCCTTTTTTGCTTATTTTACTTTTCAATTATCATTATAATATGTTTGGCCATCTAATGGAAAATGCAGGATTGGACTATTTGCATAATGGTTGTAAACCACCAATTGTCCATAGAGATTTAAAAACTTCCAACATTCTGCTAAATGAAAAGATGCAAGCCAAAATTTATGACTTTGGACTATCTCGAGCTTTTGCAACTGATATTGACACTCATGTATCAACTCGTCCGGCTGGCACATTGGGTTATCTTGATCCTGAGTAAGTTGTTTCAAAAATCAACAAAAAAAAAAATACAATTTACCTCATATTAGCTGGGTTGAAAGCTTGATGGTTCAACTTATATATATATATATATATATATATATATATATAGAGTAGATTCCACACTGTGGCCTTGCAGGTCAATTTGATTGTAAGATTGCTTAGACAAAGCCGAATATATGTTCTTTTTCTCAGTCTTGCGTGAAGTGGTTATATATTTTGGCATTCTTCAATTGAACAATTTGGAAATGTTCTTTTGCGTTTTCAGATCTAACAGTTCGTTATTTTGACAGGTTTCAGAGCTCTGGAAACCTGAATAAAAAGAGTGATGTTTATAGTTTTGGGATAATTCTACTAGAACTAATCACAGGTCAACCAGCAATAAGGAGAGAACATGGCACTGTCTGTCACATTCTCCATTGGGTTACCCCAAAAATTGAAGTGGGGGACATCCAATCCATCATTGATCCAAGATTACGAGAAAATTGCAGCACCAATTCAGCTTGGAAATTGTTAGAGATTGCTCTGTCTTGCACTCCACCATCTGCAATTCAAAGGCCTGACATAAGCCATGTAGTTGCCGAACTAAAGGAATGTTTGGCTCTAACCGAAAGCAAGGGGACAATTTCAACCAGTTCCCTTGATAGGTTTTCTTTCAGTTCTGATTCAGGGCTTGTTCCATATGCTCGGTAGGTAGTTATTAGCACGTTCATAACGTTGAACCCCAAACCACATGTCGTATTTATATTGTTTGTATACATGTTTGAGTCAAACTGTGGTTCTTCTTGTTACTGCTGCCGGCGGCTCTGAGCTTGCCCCTTTTTGTTTAATGTTAGTCCTTTCTGTGTTCCTCTATTCTGTATTTATGAATTTTACTCTGATATTGTTGAACCCATCAATGTAGTGCTTGTGAGCGCATTTTTGTTTCTTTATATGTACTTTAAGATTCCAATGGTGAGATATTCAAGAATCTAAAGAAAGTTCAATTATCAGACGGGAGAAAAGAAATGGACCCGCTAGAATATTTAGCACCTAGCTTTTGCTAATCCAAGGCTTCGTTTGGCATAAAATTTCAAATTGACCATTTCTTGTGCTTCCCATAAAGGACCTAATCTTTTGGCCAAAAAAAAAAAAACCATAAAGGACATAATCTCAAATAGCCACCCCAGAAAAAAAAGAGTTCTCAGTTAAAGCCTAGTTGAGTTAACTATTTTGGATACAGGTGCATAGTATAGCATTCAGTTAACGTTTTAATCAGAACGAGCCCAATTTATAACATGCATTGGGGCTTCTTCGGCATTTCTACTTAAGAGTTTACAGCACGTGAACTTTTTGCCTGTAATTCTTTTCCCTCTTCTTCACAGGCAGGGGGTAATTATTATGTGATACATCATTGGTAAATAGTATCTAGTTCACTACCGCAGGGAAGAAGCTTTAGGGCGGTTAAAAAGAATTGTTTTTTGGGCTATTTTTACCATCATAAAATTACAAAAATGTCACTATTTTTTCACGGTGTTTTTTTTTTATAACCGTCATAAATTAGTGTCATGAATAATTTTTTTCCCTAATAATGTTGCTAGTGGCATAGTGATAATTAATGCTTTTAAGGTGATAACGTGATTCACTAACTTGCAATTGTTTGAGTTGTTTTAAGGATCTCATACACTAATTAGTAGATTGGAAAAAGAATTTATGTGAACCGGGGAGAGAAAGAAGATTTACTTGCACCATGTTTTGAGTTAGTAGTATTAATAATTTTCTTGGCAATTAAACCAAGCTTAGTGCCCTCTCAATAAACTTAAACTCCTCCCAATCTCTGGGATAAGACTCATGGAATTAGATTTGATTCTAAATATAATATCTTACTATTTTGTTTTTTGTATTTATCCTTTTCCAAACTAATTTATTCCAACTTACAAATTAATATATAATATAATATTATCCAAGGCCACATTTTTATTAATTAACCAATTTACATAATCTCTTTAATCTGCCTAAATTAATTAAATAGCTTTTATATTAAGTATATGAAAAAATATATATGTTTTCTTTATTTTATGATACTATCTCCTATATTTAATATAAGAGTTCGTTTGACTGTTATTTTGTCCCTAAATAGAAGACCCTAATACATTTTGTCTCTTATATTTATCTATTTTTTTCAAGATAATCTCTGTAATATTAATAGTTTTGACCAATACACTTGATTAGCAAGGATATTTTAAAAAAGACAATACCTATTTATTACAAATAACAAATTTAATTAATTTTCTTAATCTACTTAAATTACTTAACTAGTTTAAAGACCAGAAGTAGTAAGTTGGAGCGGAAGATGACTTTGCCGGTCAACTTTAGTGATGGATACGAGTTAGATGATCCCAGAAAGTTGCAGAAGATCAGATCAAACTTTGAGGCAGCAAAAGTCAAGTTGTCTCTTGTGTTTTATCACACAAAACCTTTCCCCCCCACTTTCTCGAGCTCCATAAACACGCTAAATTGTAAGAGGCTGACGAAAATTAAAGGTTGGCTGCGTGGCTTGTTTCGGTTCAACTTAATGTAGCTGGAACACTGCGTACAAATCTCAATGACCGTAAGGTAGGATCCAAAGCTTTTAGTCAACTATCATCTTTTCTGTAGCTACGCACCAGAACATGGGTTATTCATTTCATAGGATTTTCACATGAATCAAACTGGGCTTTGAGATTATGGTCCTATTTGGTACGAAGCATTGAAAATAAAGGATAGGAATTAGAATTGCGATTGAAAAAAAAAAATCATTGAAATAGTATTTAGCATAAGTAATTGCTTGTTATGTGGGATTAAACAAACCCAAAGAAGTAGGATTGGGGAATACTACTTTCCCTCATGGTATTCCCCAATCCCATATACATAGGTTTGGCTAATCCCATATAATAAACAATTATCTATGCTAAACACTTTTTAATAGATTTTTTCAATTTCAATCCATACTCCTATCTCTAATTTTCAATATTCCCTACCAAACGTGACCTACGAGTTTGTTTGGTTGAGGATTGGACGGGGCAAAAATAACGTTTAGGGAGCAAATATCAGATTGAGTTATTTTATTATATGTTTGACCTCATGTTTAGGTATAAGCCATTTTGCCTAAAAAAAGTCACTTTAAGTTACAGGCTAGTAATTTTTATGGTTTATGCCTTATCTTACTTACGGAAAAGCTACTTTTCAAAATCAATTTGAAACAATTTAATCCATATGTTTATGTTCTCCTTATACTTCTCTATACATATTCAATGGCTTCCAACAATTTTTTTAGTTATTATTTTTAATACTTTTTAAAATGAAAATAATTTTTAACAAAATTTTTATAATATTTATAATATTATTTTTTATTTTATATTTACATAAATTGTGCAAAGTCATCCAATTAATTATGTAATATTATTTGGTTAAAATATTTTCACATTATTACTATAATTTCTAATTTAAATATATTTTATTTATTATAATAATTTAAAATTATTATATTTTCATAAATTATTTTTTAATTATTTTTTATTATTTAATAAAAGTCATAACCATTTTGGTCATTTTATAAACTAAACTTACTTATCCAATTATAATTCAAATAATTTTTTATTTTACAACCTAACTTTTAAAGTTAATCCAAACATAAATTACTTTATTCAATCTAATTTTTTTAAAAATTATATTATAAATAAGTTACTTTTTATACTTCAACCCAAGCGAACCCTATATCTCAACCACTCAAAATTTTAAAATTCAAGTTTATCAAATTTTTCATCTCCTACACACACATATGTACATCTCAATAAACTGAACTTTATTTGACACTTCACATGCTAACAATTTTTTTCTTAACAGCACAAATGAACTTCCTAAAAACGTCATAAACGGTAAGTTTTTGCAATATGTGAGTCCTTGGGCTAATTAACATAGACCATAAATTCATACTTGAAAATCTATACTAGTTGGTAAACACTATAAAAAGAAAGAAAGAAAGAAAGAAAAAGAAGAGAATACATTAAAAAAAAAAAAAAGACAAACAGAAAACCTAGTTTAAATTTTAAAACTAAATATTAAAGCTGTGTCAATTACTTATGTGTTTTTTGGGTATGAAAATTTTCGTATTAATGTAACACCATTAGTATTTTATTATAAATTTTCTTTTAGTTTGTTGCGTGATAAGAATAATGGAGGTAACTAAATGTCAAGAAGTATTAAATTCCAGAAGGGTTAAGCTTTTCTTCTGACAAAGGAAAATACATCACAAAGATTCGAAATCGTTTACCGCATGGATCAAGGGTCTAGATTATACAGATCTAGAGGAAATAATCCGAGTCCACTCGGCAAATATTCAAAGTTTGATGTGTTGACTGGGCAAGTCGACGTTCCAGTCATGCCAGCCATAATAGCTTTTTTTTTTCACTTTTTTTTGGGGGGGGGGATAAAAAGCAAAGCAATAAAGCCCCTGAAGCTTTCTCCGTTTACTTGGACCATGTCAATCCATATATATGTGTGTGTGTGTGTGCAGGCATGGCTACCATAACAAGCAAAGCAAGTCATGTGCGATTATTATTTTCCGCTATTTAGTGTGCTTCTTTAATTTGTTTGGGTTCATGTTACAAACTATCCAACTAAAAAAAATTATAGTTTTGATATTGATAAATAACTATTTAATTACTTTCACCCAGCAAACTATGATTTTTTATAGTTTCAAATGTGACAACTAACAAAACACATACAAACACAACTACATGATTCACACAAAGAATATTGAAAATGATTAGCCTCCCATACAGTCAAGTCAATCTGTCTGTTAGATAGAAAGAGTAAAAGGGAAAATCATACCCAAAAAAAAAAAAGATATTGCTTCACTTATATATTATTTTTGTTATTATTATTTAGACTTGCATTGTGGTCTCGAGACGGATGAACCCCAATCCAAGCACTTTGACGCTTTTTTCTTCCTTTTTTGCCAACACTTTGACTTATTATTTAGAAGCTGAAAATCAATATACTACTTTCAATCCCTAATATAAGACCTGGTTGATTAACTTGGAAAGATTAAGAAAGTTATTAAAGTACTTATAATAACATATGTTACGTAATCTCTCTACAATATTTATGTGAATTATTAAATTATATTGTATATCAATTTATAAGTAAGCCAAATTAGTTTGGAGAAAAATTATAAATATAAGTAATTTAAAGTAATTTAGTAACTGCCTTAACTTCTCAAATTAATCAACTAGGTCATATAATAAGAATCAGATGCATAGAAATAAACATATATGCACCTCAATTTTTATCCACCAATATAATATAGATAAAGGATTTTCCTCCGCGACACATTGTGAGAGATAAGTGTAAATAATAATGACTGCGCATGTATCTCAAATGAGAATAACTAGTAAGAGAGGTTTTGAAGAGGTGTATGTAGCAAGATCAAATACACCGGTCAACGCCCCTCAGTACACGTTATGTACAGATACATGCAAGTCACCTCCCTACATACATCACATTTTATCGTGTTTTTATTAGATTGCACGTATAATAGCTATATGCATTAAGTCAAAGCAATTTTACCGCAAGATAACTCATTGATCTGGAAGGACTTAGTCATAACCAAATATGCAGGCTATGCTTTAGTCTTTAACAAACTAAAAGAAGTTGGATTGGTAAAATATTGGACCTCAAAAAATCCCTAATAACTGTAGAGGGAGGAAGCAAAAGATTACATAGTAATTTGAAAAGTTATGAAGATATAATTCCAAGAAATATAAATGATGATTCATTTATATAGTCTTTTCAGGGGAAAAAACATAATTTAATTTTTGAATAGCTGTTAATATAATTATATGCCTATTACTTTTTAAAACTGTTTTTCCAACCATCA